CAGCCCACTGCCAGGCAGAACTGGTCCTCCCGTACAGAGAGAGGCGAGCTGTGCGGCTGGGGAACCCGGGAGGTTTTCAAAGGACCCCATCCCAGGCTCCTCCCAGGCCCTTCTGGGAGTCTTGACCTCGGGGCTTCTTCCGGGGAGAAAGACCTTCCCCCTGCGCTTTCTCGGGCGCCTCCTGCGCTGTGCGGAGGGGCAGTCGCTGTGGGTGGAAAGGGAGACCGGAGCGGGAAGGTGAGGTTTGACTTGAAGGGAAAGATCGAATTCAGAGTGTGAGGACCCGGGATCTCTTCCCCATAGGGCCCCTGATGAGTGGGCAACTCCCAACTCCTCCCCCAAAATTAGCTCAGTTCCCCCACCCAGCGGACTGGGGTGCTTGGCCGGTGGGCAGCCTGGTTCATGCAAAGGGAGGAGGAACTCAGACTCTCTCCCGGGTTGATAAACTCAAAGCACAAAGAAACGCAGGACATAAGCCCAACCCAGCTCCCAGGCCAGCGCCCGGGCACGCGGGGGAGGCAGGGAAACAGGTCTGAAACCCCCAGGGTGCGGAGGAAAGAGGTGGGCTCAGTCTGCAGGTGGGAGTGGGGGCAGGCGTGAGGCCTTGAGCCTCCGAAGCTTGATGGCTGCAGCCCGGGCACTTGCACGTGGGCACGATCTTCGGCGCGCTCTGGCGCCCCCTCAGAGGAGTGCCAGGCGCCTTTGCCCACCTGGACCCCGGCCCGTGGCCCCCAGTACCCTTACCAGCAGCCCCGGGGCCCTCCCAATCCCCCCCCCTCCACGTTGGGCAACAGGCTCTAATGAACAAAAGGCCAATTAGAGGCTGGGGCGCGGCTGATGAATGGACCTTTCGCTTTCAAGTGTGGCACCGCCTCGCGTTTCCTGGCGCACAGGGTCGCGCTGGGAGAAGCCGCCTCCCCGAGCGGGGTCACGACTGGGGTCAGCAAGTTCTCAAAACTCCCACTTCCCCCAGTTATGGGGCTGCTCTGGGGAAGTAAATCCAGCGGTGAGCGGGTGAGCGGAGCCGCGAACAAGGCGCGCCTGCGGCCCGCAGCTGGGCCTCCATCCAGCCCGTCGACCCAACGCTGTAGGCCCGGTTCCCCTGCCGCCCGGCCCGCGGCCGCTCTGAACAGGCAGCAAGTAAATCACACGCTGATTGCTGGAGTCATACCGGCCGGCCTAGGAAAATGCAGTTACCGAAAACGACCGTTGTTGGCCAAACTCCGGAGCCAGTGGTGCGCTGTGGGAATTACACCCCAACTCAGGCCTCCTCACCACACACACACACACACACACACACACACACACGTGGATCCCGAGAAACACGCAAATACTGCCGGGGCTCTGGGCATAAGCACCATCACACGGGAACCCCCACACAAACACGAAATGTCACTGAGAGAGAGAGAGACGCTGAGGCCATTCCCATCGTCTGATTTACAACCACTGCCGCTGCGCGGCCAGACACTGGCACTCAGGTTCCATACACAGCTGTATTCCAGGCGCTCTAACTACGGCCGCACAACTACACGTTCCTGCCCAACTCAGTACAATTCTAGAGGCACGAGGAAAGCTGGACAGCTGGACACACACAACGACACAGCAGCCCTGGTCTCTCCAGCCTCTCACGCAGCCAGCACAACCAGCATCTACACACCCTGCCTGAGTCCTGGCTCAGACACACAGCTACATCTCCACACAAACACAACTGTTTCCGGGCCTAACGCACACACGCGACCTGTGCAAACACACAAGCGCGGCCGCTCGCCCTAACTTAACATCCACACCCCTATTTCGACTTGCAACTGCACACACGCGGGCAGCCCAGCCCACAGGACTGCGCCGCAGATCAGGGCCGGGGCCTGGCCTCCCAATGGCCAGAGGCCCTCCCCTGACGATCCTGGAGTCCTGGACTTTGTTTCCTGCTACCCAGGCGAGGCGGGGACGGGGAGGAGCCGAGGTTCCCACGGCTGCACGCAGGCCCAAGCCCCCTTTCTGCCTAGCCTGCTTGGCACGGGCGCTCTGCCTGCCACAGTCCGCCCCAGCACAAAAGTGGCCCGGCAGGTTCCGGGCCTCCGCCAACGCACCCGCTGCAGCTCGGCTTGGCTGCCAGGAGCAGAGTCGGAGGGAGCTGGGGCCACCGGACACTCAGAGGGAGAAGCAGAAAGGGGTCATACCCCCGGTGGGGGTCCGAGGTTTCTCCCCCCTCCAGAGCTGCTGATGCTTTGAACCACCACCCCCAACCCCCACCTCCCCTCCCGCCTGCCGGGCCCTGGGCCTCGAAGAGGAACAGAATCCCCAACTCAAAACGCAAGCTGAACCCACGTGTACCTTGCAGGAAGGAGAATGTAGTTGGGGCGCACAGGCAATAGACATCCCTTTTGACTCGCTCTGGGAAATGCTGACTAGGGCTGGCCCACAGGTAATCAACAAGGGAGCCGGACCTGGATCAAACATGTCAACTACGTTCCGATGTTGGGCAACAGGCAGGACACACGGCCACATGCGTGTGGTTCGCCATGTTCAGGGAGGAACACAGAACCTGGCCCTGGATGCCCACAGAGCCCTGCCGGGGCCTCCAGGGCTGGCACCCATGAAACACCAGAGAGGACCCGGGCCCGGGACACACAGCTCCCACGCACCCCTTGTCCGAAAGGCTGCAGCCCAGCCCGCGCGCTCAGCGAGGGGGACGCACGCAGTCGTCAGGCACACGCGCCCGCACCCTGCCCTGCGCCCCGTGCCCAGATTGCCATCATGGGATGGCATCTCGCAAATATTTATATTCTTCAGCGCCACGGCAGCCCGCGTCCACATTAGACGTCCTAATCCTGCCACTTTAAGTAGATGAATTAATAAAGCAAACGAGCGGCTAATAAGCTGACTGTCCTGCCTTTCGGAGGGGTGGGGGGGAAGGCCTGGAAAGTGCGCCAAATTTGTTTGCAGTGGATCAAGGCGAGCCGCCTCTGCTGCACTTTCTTTATCTTAATTCCGACTTGAAAAGATATAATTATCTAGTTTGAACAGAGCTGCTATCAAATCCTTCTCTGGGCCGGGAAGGGGGGCGTTGGAGTGGATTGCGGGCCTCTGAGCCGCTCCGTGCAGCCGGAGATAGCGCGTAATGAAGATGTGGAGGCCTGAGATACAAAGGGCATTAACCTCATTAGCATGAAACCTTTTCTTCTTACCATTGTGGGACCCTTTCAGCCGCCTAATCCCCCCTATTTTCAAAGCTTGGTTTGTAATAAAGCTTTTAGGTGGGGTTTTTTTTTCCCAAAGCTAATGGTATTCTCTGATGATTTTATTGCTGTTACACTCACTACATAGGACGTTTACAAAAAAAAATCTTAGTCACCGCCCCCCCCCATGTCTTGTACTTAAAAAAAAAGTATATGGTTCTGCAGAAATCAACTTTGTATCAAATTGAGACATTTTCTTCTGGAAAAGCCAGCCTGAATTTTAGCAGGTCTGTCCTGCAGGTCCCAGGTACTCTGAGTTTGGGCAAGTGGGTAGAAGGGTAAGTTGTCTAGACAGAAGCATGGCGTAATGTAACAGTGACTGGGAGAACTCCGGACAGCCTTCGTCACTAAGGTCTTGCTGTCAATGGGGCCGAAATCCTCACTTAAGTTTCCCGTGATACCCAGGGCAGCACCTGTCCCTTTACTTCCAGAGACAAGCCTGGGTCTCCTGAGGCGGCCCCCTCCCACCTCCTCCCCCCACAACCTCCTGCACCCAAGTCTCCCCACAACATATACACCTTCCCAGGAGTCTGCGTGAAAATCAGCACCCGGAACAGCCAGGGTTCTGGAGAGGAAGGGACACGGAGAGACAGGCCAAAATAAAGTAAAACGAGGGAGAAAGATCAAGAATGCATTCCACTTTAAAAGAGAGGAGGGGACGGGGTTGGGGGGGAGGAAGAAAAATTTCCATCGTGCCCTATAGTCCCCTCACGTGCACAGAATGTCTAATCTTAACTTTTCAAGGCAGGATGTTAACAAAGCTTGTATTTTTGCCCTGCATTGTAACTTGGCCTTATCACAGTGTAAAGGGTGGGGAGATTGTCCTAAATTATGTCCAGGCAGCCCCCCTGGATCTGTGGATTAAGAGATTAAAGGAGACCACTGGGCAAGGCCTCCTCTTTCCCCTTCATATTCCTGGTATGATAATTGCTTAAACTGATTTGCACTTTCACAAAAGCTCGCAGGACGCTTTGTAGCTCGAACAGAGCAGACGAGGTTTCTCTATCAATGGAAATAAAACTGATTAATGCAGCCTATCAGGATAAGAAGCAAATGAAGCATGCAAAAACAACCCGTACCCCAGAAGGGGGGGGGGCGGGAGGACGGAGGACGGGGGAGCAAAGTTTCCTCCAAGACTGGTTACAACTTTGAATGTTGAAATCCAGAGGTGGAGGTTTCCCAGGACGCTCCCTCACTGTATGAGGCTGCTGAGGACCTTGGGCCTGCCTTCGCACCCTCGGCAGACGGGGGACAGAGGGCGAGGAAAGGAAGAAAGGAGAGAGAAAGAGAGAGGGGGGGGGGGAGATTGAGAGAGAGATTTGTACTTTGGGGTTTAAAAGTCAAAAAACAGCTTCAAAGTCGCAGGGTTCCAATTCGGCAAGGTGTTTTCCCCAATCCCGGAGGAATATTCTTCCATACATAACTATCTGTTTAGGTTTTTTAAAAGCTGACTTGAGAGGTTGCAAGAAGTAGGCATTTTTAACCTGCCATTGAAACTAAACTCCCTCTGTAGGCCTTGCAATGGGCGATGGTCTGGTTGGAAAAACTTTTTCTCCCATCCCTTTTCTGAAGGATTTAAGTTTTCCTAATCCTCTCCCCTTTCCACCCTCATCTCTCTTTAAAATGCCCAAGAATCCATCAGTCTGGCCCTTCTGGGGGTGAGGAGACTGGGTTTCTTGAGCCTAGTTGGGGAAGGACCACACTCAAATTACTGGACATACTTTTTACAGAAAAAAACTGACTTTGGTTTCCCAAGACAACTACTCTGAGGGCATATTGATAAATCTTTATTGACAAAATATTGACATTGACATACTTCTTGGAAGTATATAGTGTGTTAGAATTCTAACAAATTAACACAAAACACAAAAATATTTACATTCTGGTATAGAAGACATTAAGGAAGCGTTTGTCACTCTCTTTAGTAAGTCTATGATCTTGGAATAGAAACTCAGTGCTTGAAAACTTGCCGCCATGTCTTTGGCCACACTTAGCATCATCCCCGCTAACTACAGTCCTTCGGTTTTTGCAATCGATCGATTTAAAGTTTGGAATGGCCTTTGCAGTCAATGGTTGAACTCAGCCAATATCTCCAACCACTAAAAGGAGTTTGCTTCGTGATTTTAAGCCTTGGGATGTTAGGAAAGGGAATGTCCAAGAAATAGAATTAATTTAGGTATTTTTTTTCCAACACAATTCCTGACTCCTCTTGTGGGCACCCTCCCCAGCCACCCCCAGCCCCCCATCCGGCTCCCCATTTCTCTGTAAGAGGACCACTATCGCTGAGCCTACTAGTTTAGCTTTCACAATCACTTTGACATCAGAAGATATCAAAACGTGTTTACAGACTGCACATTTCTCGAAAATCAAAACTCAAAATCAAAAGCACACAGAACCTGTCTTCAAAAGGAAAAGAAAGTTACAATTCATTTTCTGTCTTTAGACACCATTCGCCCAACAACTGCTACATGCAATTCAAGTTTTTGGACATGTGTGGGATGGGGCTGGATATGAAATTTCGATCATCGTTATTATTACTGATTATTTTTAAAGACTGGGGGTGGGTGGGGAACACTGTGAAGTGCAAAATAAAAAGTCCTGTGCCTGGTTGCTTTTTTTTTTCCTTTTATCATCATTATTATTATCTTTTTTACAAAGAAAAATAAAGTCGGACTGCGATAAACGGAATACCTGCCAATCATCTTGTCTCGCTGGTTGGGCCTTTGACTGACAGCTCCCCTTGTCAGAGCGCCTGCCGCTTTGCCACCTTTAGATCTCTCTCTCTCTCTCTCTCTCTCTCTCTCTCTCTCTCTCTCTCTCTCTCATTCTCTCTCTCTCTCAGCTGCCTCTTTAGACAAGGGTTGCATGTTGATCAAGGAGCCTCCATCCTCTGCCATCATGGCGCGGCCTCCGATCAGGGCCCTGCGCCCTCGCGGCCCAAAGTCTGCGACGCGCTCTCCGCTGTCCCTCCGACTCCCTCTCCCCTTCTCGGCGAATGTGTGTGTGCGGTTTGTTTTTGTTTTGTAGGGTGTTTTCTTCTTCCCCGCCTCTCCCTGTCCTCTGTTTTGCTCCGCTCTGTCCGTTTCCGTGGGGTTCGGGTTGTGTTTTTAATCGTCCGAGGTCACGTCTATTTCCTCCGGGCTGGCCTGCTTGGTGGCGATTCTCCACCGGTTAATGTGATGCGTCCCTTTTTTCTTTTGTTGCGAATCTGAACCTTCTTCCTCCAGCTTCTGTCTTTTGAACTTCGTCCTCCGGTTCTGAAACCATACTTTTACCTGCGGGCCAGACGCAGAAGGGGCGCGTTAGTTCCTCCACAGCGCCCTCCTACCTCTCTGCCTGCGCCCGGCAGGCCCCGTCCGTCCGGCCCCGTGCGCGTCCCGCAGCAGCCTGTGCACAGCCTCCCTTAGGGGAGCGGAGCTGCAGAAACCCGGCTCCCCACCCTGGGTCACCCGAGTCACTTTCCCGGCTCGGGACCCCAGCGCACAGTCCTGCTCACCTTGCCCTGAAGGGGACACCCTCAGTCCACTGAGAATAGAAGCCAGGGAAACCCCTATAAAAATCCTAAGAAAAGCAAAAAGCGACCTGTCCGGAACCCCCTCTCCCTAGCCCGTGCATGCGGGAAAGACTCCGCCGCAGCTGCCCGGGCTCCCTGCAGGGCCCAATGTGCTTTCTCTTTTCTGTGCGGTTCCGGGCGTTGCCTAAACATAGCACTTCCTGGGCCAGGCCCGGGCCCGGTAGGCAGTCATGTCTGCCTGAGCTTCCCTCTCCTGGCCCAGGATTCTTGCAGGTGAGCGAGAGTGGGTGCTAGGGGGTGCTGGAGGCAGCCAGGAGGGACGCGGGGTGCAGCAGCCTGGGGACCAACCCAGCTATTCCACTGCAGTTAGGGAAAGAGGCTCAAAAGTGAAAGCTTCTGAAAGACCTCAGGACAGAGGGGAAGAAAGAAACTGAGACAGAGGAGAGGGGGAGAGAGAGCGCCTTCTTTTGCCCCCTCCTGGCCAGCCCCAAGACAGGCCTGGGCCAGCTTCCCACCCTGGTCACATCCCTTAGCAGGAGGCTCCTCTGGCAGCCTGGCCTCAGAGTAACTGCTAGAGGTCCAGGGAGCAATGAGGAAAGGACTTACTGGGGCTGCAATCCCCATCGCCCTCTGGGGAACCTGGGCAGTGGGTCTCTATCCAGTGACCAGACCAGACAGTAAGGCCACCCTAACTTCCCACCTGGTGAGGTGCAGGTAAGGAAAATGGAGGTGGCCGCACCTCCCCTGCCCTCGGACCTGATCGCACCGCCACAGGCCGCTGAGGTCGGCTCCACTCCCTGCTCGGAGAGTCCAGCCCAGGTCCCAGCTCGTTCTCCCCAATAGCCCCAATCCCCCCAAGTGCCCCGTGAACAAGCGGAGCTGGAACAAGGCTGACTGTAATTTGCTTTGAGTTTGCTAATTGAGGGGAGGACGGTTCATTTCTCCCGGCGCTCGCCCAAGGCGCGCGTCCGTGCGCTCCGGGCTTGACACGCACACAAAGACAGCGGGCGGCGTGGGCAGCGAGGCGGACAAAGACCACCGCCGCCTCGACGCTCCAGGATGAATCAGCCGGGCCGGCCGCGCCTGGTGCCGGCCCCGCACCTACCCGCGACGCCCTCCTCGGTTTTGTCCGGGGGAACGTCTTAAAACAAAAGCCTGGACCTCTTTGCACCGCCCAGAAACACTGTTACAACTTAATCCGCACGAAAACGTTACTGTTTGCCGGGAACTCTGACCCCACCCTGCGGCTCCGCGTACAGTAGCGCCTACTGTAGCCCGGAGCCCCCTCCCCGCCCCTGGGCCGGCCAGAGCCGGGACCCTGCGGCGCAGGCAGGGCCTGTCCCCGCGCCGCAGCCTCGCAGCTCTGATTCTCTGATTTAGGGACGCGCCCACGACACACGGCCTCCGCCTTCCGACTCTCAGATCCCTTCGTGGGGAGTAACCGGTGTGAGCAGGGGTCTGTGTTCGCACAGAACTTGCCTTTAACCAATTCCCAGACTTCTCCAGCTTCCACACCCAACACTCCGACACCCCCACTGCTCTCTCCCTCTTCCTGGACCCCAGCCGGGTCCCCAGACTCTCGCCAAAAGTTTCCCCCAAAAGTGCAACTGTGTTAGCCAGGAGCTAAGTCCAGCGGACAGCAGGAGCGATCCAGGCCGCCCGCCCCCCGCCCCTCTCCCCAGCGCCTGGGGCAGGTAGACTCCTGCGGTCCCATCTGGAGACCAAGGAAGCCTGGCACCTGGAAACGTCTACATCCTGAGCGGGGGGCGTGGAACCAAGTCCCCGGCCCTTTGGCGACGGCCCTCTCTGAGCTCAGCACTTGTGTGCCAGCTGCGTGGGTCCCGAGATTGGGGTGGGGGTCGCCGCGCCTGGGCCCCACTCACCTGAGTTTCCGTGAGGCTGAGGCTGTGTGCCAGCTGCTTCCTCTCGGCGCCCACCACGTAGTGGTTTTTCTCGAAGGCGTGTTCCAGCCTCAGAAGCTGGGACGGGGAAAAGGCGGTTCGGATCCGCTTCGGCTTTCGGGCCAGCGCGTTGTGCAAAAGGAAGCTCTCGGGGCTTGCGTCGTTCCCTGCGGGGGACACAACGTAAGTCCCATTAGGGAGGGGGTGGGGGGCGCCGGCCTGGCCGGGGCCGCGCGCTTCTCAGGAGACGGGCTGGCGGGACACCGCGCTCCGGGCCTGTGCGTAGCCCCGGCGGCTTGGCGGGTGGGTCCGGGTACCCTCCGGCCGGCATAGTAGGCACGGGCCCGGCTGCACCGCCCAGACCGCCGGGCTCTGCCTGTGCGGCAGCCACCCCGCAGCTGCCCTGCTGGGCCAGTCCCCAGGCTCCTGACCTCCGCGGACTCATCAGCCGCCGTGGCGCGCGGGCCTCGCCACCGCCGAGCCGGGCGCCCAGGGCAGAGGAGGGGGCGCCAGGGACAGACCCGGGAGTGGGAGCCCACGACCCAAAGGGACGGCGGCTTTCTCCTCTTTCTAAGCTCTCGGGGAGCTCTGACCCAGGGCGGCGAGGCAGCGGACCAATATTCAGAGTTTTCTCGGGGACTTATCTTTAAATTCTGTATTTAAGTTCTTCCCCTCTGGAAAAGTGCAGAGGCCCGGCGTGTCTTTCCAGCCCGGCTGGGACCGAAATGTCCCCGGCGGGTGCGCTCCGCTCCTGCCTCCCGAAGACCCGGCTCTCGCGTTCCCGGCTCCAGAGAACGGGGAGACTCGGCGAAGGGATCGAAACCCGGGAGCTAGTGAGCGGAGGGGGCCCGAGGGGACCATCCACGACCCCGGAGGATCACGGCTGCCCTGGGCCTGGTGCGAGGGCCAGGAGCGTGGCCGGCAGAGGATACGGAGAGGGGGCCCTAAACTTTGCGAGCAAAGCCAAAGAGTTTGGGGTTTTCTCATTCGGGTGGGAAATGGATTCACTAAAAGCCCAGACGAAGAAAAACTAACCCACAGTTCAGGCTGGAATGGAGGCCTATCTAGTCAAGGGAGGAAAGGGAACGGCTGTTTTTGTTCTGTTTTTTTAAATGAGGGGCGGGGTGGCCTGTACCCGGTTCTGAACTCCGGCAGGAACGCCAAGGGTTAATGAATGGACCAGCCGCTGGGTATCGATCTGCGGCCGCGGGGGGTCGGTCTTTTCCCGGCTCCCAGCGCTACACTAATTCCTCGCCTCTTTTCCCGGAGTTTTAACTTTGTTTCTTCCACCCCCACCCAGAGAAAAATAAAACAAACAAACAGAAATAGCAAGAAAGGAAAACACCCAAACAATTTTCTCTAGCCCTGGCGAGACTCGGCTCATTTCTCTTAAAAGAAAAATAAGTAAATAAATAAACAAACAAAACCCAGACGGAACCTGCCTTCCTGACGCGGCCGCTCGGCGCCCGGATGGAAAGGGCCGAGCATCGGCGGTTTCAATCCGCGCGGGTTCCCGCCCCTGCGGGGCCTCCAAAAAGCAGGAAAACACACACACACACACACACACACACACACACACACACACACACACACACCCTGATTTTGCCCTGGCGCGCGGGGGAGAAAACAAACCCCTTGATTCTGCCCCGGGCGCGCGGGTCCCCTCGCCGCCCCAAGAAAGTCAGAGACCGAGAAGTCACGGGTCTGGGCGGAAGGGACGCGGAGCCGGTGGCGAACAGGGTAGAGCGCAGTCGAAGGCGCCCAGTCCTCGCCCCTTGGAGCCAAGGTTTCGAGGGCATCGCCGAGAAGACGCGGAGCCTGGGCACCCCGCGGGGTCTGGGGCTCCTGGGCCGCCTGCCTTGACCCGAGAGGACTCGGAACCACCAGCGGCCGCAGTCCAGTCCCAAACCGGGCCGCCGCTTTGGGAGCCGGGGACCAACACCCCGCTCTTCGCCGCCCAGTTGCCCACGAGGGCTCGCGGCCCGCCGGCGGGAGGCACCTCCACCCGGGCCTTGCCCGGCGCCCACCCCGAGCAGGCCCAGGCTGTGCGGGATGCGGCGCGCGGCAGCCCCGCGACGTGGCACGTACCTTGGAAGCGATGGCCCAGATACCGGTAGCGGTGGATGAGCCACGGGTAGAAGGTGGACGGGTCCCGCTGCTGCGAGGCGAAGAGGGGGTGTGGCGAGTGCGAGGAGGGCAGGGGGTGCGCGGCCAGGGCGTGCGGCGGCGGCACGGGGTGCACCGGCACCGCGGGGTTGGGCGGGTGCGAGACCGCCTCGGCGAACACCAAGTCCGGGTTGGAGTAGACGCCCCTGCCGGCGGCGGCGGCGGCGGCCGAGTGGAAGCCGTTGAGGAACGGGTTGATGGGGCTGGAGTTGGCGTAGCTGAGCGCCGCGGGACGGATGGGGTCCTCGGAGCGCGAGGCGGGCAGGGGACTGTCCTTGGCCACCAGCGACTCGATGGTGAAGCAGCGCTTGGGCGCCGGCTGGAACATGCTGCGCCGCGGAGCTGGCGCCCGGGGCTCCCGGCTCGCGGCGACCGTGGCGCGCTGCCTCCGCCGCCCGCTGCCCGCGGCGAGCACCGACGAGAATTGGGGACTTGTTTGTTTGGGGTGGGGGTGGGGGGAGGAAAGGAAGAAAGAAAGGAAAGGAAAAAGGAAAGGAGGGGGGAGGGGGAGGGAGAGGCAACGCCGACGATCCCGAGAATCTTGCACCAAACTCGCCCAACCTGGAGAGACGGGGAAAAATCCTTCCAGAAGAATTTGCAGGCGTGGATTGGGGTAATTTTTTTTTTTTTTTTTTTTGGCGAGATGGCGTGGGGGGATCGGAGTTAGAAACAGGGAGGAGGGGGGGGAGTTTCTTGGGGGAGGCAAAAAAAAAAGTTTTCTCTCCTCTGCAAAAGGCGGGCAGGGCGCCCTAAGTCCAAGGACAATCCATGGAAGTGTTCGCTTCTTCACAAGTTGTGCAAACGATTTGTTAGTTCATGAGCCTAATTAGTGCGGGGATCACATAAACAGCTTCCTCCGAAGCCTGGTAAGTGGCTTGATGATTGGTCGCTATTACTCGCCCTGAGGTGGAAGGGGGGAGACTCTGTAAAGTGCGTCAGAGGGAGGCGAGCGCCTGGGAACCCGGAGGCCTGGATCCCGGCCGAGAGCGGAACGGAGTCGGCGCCGCGGCCTCGGCCTCGCCTCCCGCGCCCGCCCGGCCGCCCGGCCTCGCCGCACCTTCTCCCCGCGCTCCCCGCTCACTCGCTCCCGGGGCTCCCACTCCGGCTTCTCCTCCTCCTCTTTCGCCTCCTCCTCTTCTTTCGGCTTCTCTTCCTCCTCCTCCTTCTCCTCTTCCTTCTCCTCCTCCTCCTCTTCTTCCTCCTCCTCTTTCCCCACCTCCTCCCGCTCTGCCACCTCCTCCTCCTCCTCCTCCACCACCACCACCACCACCACTCCCTCCGGGGCACCCGGGTCCCTGCAGAGTCCCCGGCCGGCGCAGCCTCCGCAGCGGCCTCCCGGAGCCCGAGCCTGCTGAGCCCGAGCTGGTAGGACGGACGGACGGACAGACAGGCGCTCCGATTTCTTGCGCCTAGCGCTCCGCTGCTGCTGCCCCCGCGCCCCCGCGGCCCCGTGTCAGGGGAGCTGGGATCGCCCCGAGAGCACCGCGAGGGTAAGCGGGCGGGCGGGGATTGGCTCTGCGCGAGGGCTACCAGAACCGTTTGGTCATTTCAACCCGCACCCACGGCAGCCTTTCCTAGGTGAGCAGGGGACCGGGGAGTGGGGGTCCTCGCGCAGCCTCGGGGTCTCGGGGTCGCCGCGTTTCCGATCCTGTTCGCAAGTTAAGACGGAGCCCGTGGCTCTGCCGGGCAGCGGGCTTCCTATTCGCCCCCAAGGCCCACTGTCTCTGGGACGGTGCTCACCTCCTTCCCCAAAACAGCTTCTTCCGTGGTACCTGGGACCAAGGCTCCAAGGTCAGGGGGAGAGGCTGTGAGGTGCTACTGTTATCATTCCGTGGTCGTTATTATTTTGTTAGTGTTATAATTATTATTGTCGCCGTTGTTGTTATTATTTCTATTATTATTTTGCCATCTGTTGTCCCGGGGGCGGGTTGCTGTGCAAACCTAGGGCTCACAGCGAGGGACTGCAGATCGCATCTCCGGTTCCAGGCCGTGTCCGCATTTTCGAGCTCGCCTTCGGTTTTGGGATGATTTTAGGGCCGCGTTCCCTCGTCCCCATTGGCTCACGCAGTGGCATAATTATGATCACATCCCCCAGGCTGCTGGCGCTGCTCTCTGTTTATTGGTGGTTAAAGATCTATTATCTATTCATCAGCCGCCTCTTTTTTTCCTCTTTTTTTTCTTCTTTTTGCCAATTACATTCTTCAAAAAATGAAGTACCAGCAGGTATTTTGCACTTTTACAATTAATGATAAAAAGAAATCTGGCATCCTTTAAATCATGACTTGGAAGCCCATGTCATTGCTGTTAAGAATGAAGAAATGCCTGTGTTTGGTGACTAGGTTGCCTTGAGACCCAGAAAAACTCGATTGGGGAGGGGGTGGGGGGAGAGAAGAGCGAAGCCTGTGATGGAGGCAGAACTGCCACCAGATTTATCCTTGGAGGGGCCCAGTTCTTAGGCCTGGCTCTCACTTTCCCAGCTGCCTCCCTCCCCACCTGCGTCTCCCTTGTCCTTCTCTGGTTTTACCTGCTGTGTACTTGTGTTCGTGTCCATCTCTCCACTCCTTAATTACAGGCATGGTTTGTTGGAGTGAGGGAATCCAAAAAACCCTGTCAGAAAACTCTCCAGGCAAGAGAGGCGTTAGGAGGGCGCTTTCTGGGACTGTCTAGGCGCCTGACCTTAGTGAGGGGGGACAGAGGCCGTGTGTGCTGCCCCCTCCTCTCCTCCAGCCTTCCCTGGGAAATTCACACGCACACACACTCACAAACCAGACAGGTGTGGGTTTCAGCTTTGCCTTCACACAAGAACCCTGCCCCTGCCTCAGGCTGCAGACCTCTGACACCAGCTCTGGGCAGGGGTCCTGGCTGGGTTTTCATCCTTATTGGGTACTCACGACCTTGCTTTGCAGACCTCTTAGCCCCATCCCCCCCCCCCCCAAGGATGTCTGTCGGATGTTCGACCCAACCTCTTGGGGTGCAGTGGCCTGTACCACCACCCTCCAAAAATATCTTCTGTAGCTCCGAACCCCCCTCCTTCCACTAGGCTGTAGGGAAAGACACCCGGCCAGGCCAGGCCTGCGGAGATCCCTAAGCTACTTGAAAAGGTGGAGGCCTTTCAGCTGGGCCAGCCAGCCGGCCTGGAGGGGAGGTGGAGGTCAGCCCTCCATTTCCAGTGCCAGAAAGATACATGCAGCGTAGGAAGGCTGTAGGATCCTGGGGTGAAAGGGAGAGAGCCCCCTTCTTCTCCATGGATGGCTCTCCAGGAAGGCTGGAGGGTCAGGCTCACCCCAAGGCCCTCCAAACTGGGCCTTAGGTTCCCCGTTGAAAACGGGGGGCACTAAAAGCCACCCCCTGGCTGCAGGGCTGGCAGTGACCACTCATCGTGCAGTTAGTGATGGTGACCTTGGTGGGGATAGAAGAGTAGATGACCTGACGGCATCCTTCAGTGTCTCCACAGTGTGTGATTCCTAAGGGTGTTTCCCTCTTTGAAAACTCTCAGGCTGAGCTCTAAGGCGTAGTGGGCACCCCCTCAAACCCTTAGCCCTCTTTGACCAGAATGTGCCTGGAGTCCCTCTGGAGCCCAGACCCCTCAGCCTCTCCCTCCAGGGGCAGAGGGCCCAGGCAGCTCACAGCCAGGTCTCTGCTAGCAACATCCTCTGCTGACCGCTCGCTGACCTGACCGCTGACGGGGCCTCACAAAACCTGCCTGAGGGGTCAGGTTTGCCCCAGGGACTCTAGGTGTCAGGCAGATGGGCATGGGTGTGGCAGCTGGGGGCTCCAGTGCCCGCCCTCCTGGCAGGACCAGGACTTACCAGTTCCTCTGCCTCCCTCATCACTGGCCCCAAGCCTCGCCTGGGCCCCCATGAGAGGGAAGCGGGTTTCCAAGGAGGCAGGGGCCCTGGGAAGCCCTGGAAGCTGGGTAATCTATGCTAATTCATGCGCCCAGCCTTGAGACGCTTGGGAAGGTTTGTGCAGCCCCCACTCCGAGGCTCCTACAAGGTGTCAGGCATTGAGGGGGGGGGGGAGTGTGCAGGAATTAACTAGGAAAGTAGGAGAGTAACTCCTTAACCCGACTGGTGGGTGGAAGGCAGCCAGGGTCCAGGACACTCTGGCCTCCTCTGGCCTCCGGTCCTTGGACGGCGCGGCTGCGTTCACATTACTGGTGGCTTAGCCTGGCGGAATCCAGCCCCTCTTTGTTCCTTAGCTGCCCTAGAAAGGTGAGCGCTTGTACAGGCAGCATGTAGCGGGGAAAGGGGGATTTCTGAGGCTCCTGATGGAGCAAGGGGCTCCCCTTCCCTATGTCCCAAGCCTAGGGTTGGGCTCTGTAGACTCAGGAATCTACACTCTGCAGGCAGCCAGACTAGCCGGCGCATAATGAAGGTTCTCATCTTGGATCTGGCACTTACCAACCGACCGACCCAGTGATCTGGGGCAACATGACAACCTCTCAGGACCTCCACTTTGTCATCTGTAAAAATATAGCCAGATTGCGGGGCCTTCGAGGCGGTGGAGGGTAGGACTCAGGCCTGTTTGGGGAAGTGATAGACCCCTCTACTTTCTAGTGGTAATTACATGTCTGCAGTCGTTTTTCAAAACTCGTAGAACTAACTGTGCCCCACAAAGGGTGACTTTTACCCTATGGAAGTTACACCTTATTACCCTGCCCCCACCCAAAAAAGTCAGGGCCTCAGGGGTGAACTTGGGCCAGTGACCTAACCTTCCTGGGCCTCTGTGACCTCTCCTGTGAAATGGGAATAAAGAATAGCATCTTGGCCCTCGGGGCTGTCCAGTGAGATAAGCCACACAGAGTGTGCCAGGCCCTGTCTAGCACACAGTGAGCTGCAATAAAAGTCACTTCCTGTCCTTCCGTCACGTTGCTGTTGTTATTGTTACCTACCCACCTCCAGGGCTTGTTGCTGGACTTCAAGGCTGAACGATAATAAAGTTGTGCAAACATAACCTATTGCTGGCCTCGCACTCCTGCCATGAGCATCTCCATGCTCCCTGAAAGTCCAGGACTTCCCCCGGGAGGTGTTGGGGCGAGAGAGGCCTGGATTCCTGGTTAGTGGGAGGCACTGAAAGGCAACGATTTCTGGGGATCGCCCCAAACCTTCTGCTCTCGGTTCCCCACCAGGCTGCCTGTCTTTGGAGGAAACAGCAGTGCTTCTCTCTGACCCGAGTCCTGCTGGGCCTGGGGGGTATGGGGTGCTACCTGGGATCACTCACATTCTTGAGCCTCGATGGTCTTCTCATCCGTGGAAGGGAAATATCAATATCTTAATAATTGTTGAGAGTAGTATGGGAGCTAATGGTTGGCATAGTCACTATTCATCGAAGATTATTGTTAGGCGATGGCCTGGTGCTGTCCAGCCCACTGATCGCACCCTGTCATATCCAACTCCCAGCGGCTGAGACCCTCCGGGTGAGCCGGTCCTGAGAGGCCGCACCGGCGCCCGCCAGGCAGCGGGAGCGCGGACCTCAGTGAAGGGTGAGCCCTTTCCCGGGCCCTAAGCTTGCGAATGTGTCCTGGGATGGGGAGGCCTGGGGGCCGGTTAAGAACTCCTTCATCCCGCTTTGATTCCCAGTCACTCGGCCTCTCCGAACGGAACGCGTAGGGCGGCGGAGAGAACATGAAAAGAAAAATCAAAGCCTTAAAAATGTTTGAAAATGGTGATGTCAAATCCCTATCTGGCCTCCTCCCTCGAGGCCGATCGCTAGGCAGGCGCGGCGGCCTGGGACCCGGATCCGCGAGCGCGCAGCGGCGCCTAGTGGCGAGGGCCGGGCGCGGGCAGGGTACCCGCCGAGATTCCGAGTTCCGTGCACGCGGGGTGTGCTGGGGCTGCGCCCCGCAGCTAAGCTCTCAGCGGGACCCCCGTCCGGGCCAGGAGAGGAAGTCTCAGGAGGCGCACTGGCCACAGAGGAGAGAGGATGACTTGGGAATGTGCCCCTACTCCCTGCAGCAGCGCCAACTGTCCGCTGCAGAAGTCACCGTCCACGCAAGAATTCCAGCTCCACTAGCAGCCGGGCTTCCTCCCGAGGGATGCAAAAAACCGGGACAGATTCTGCTCCCAAAAGGACGAAGCGATCAGGATCCCCTGTGCCAGGGCGATGGCTAGCTACCGCGCACATGGGGTCCCTTGCCTGAGGTCCCAGGTCGCACCGCCCAACTATGGGCCCATAATGGCCTGCCCTGGGGTGGAGTCCGAAGGTCTGGGGTCCTGCGGTGCGACTCTCCCAGCTTCGCGCCCCCTCGTGGCCGGCCGAGGACGCCGTGAGACGGGTCCTGGTGGCTATTGCGGAGGTGGAGTTTGATCGCGCAACTGGGAGGCCGCGACAGCCCCAGACTGGCCCGGGGACCCTCCCCCTCCTCCTGGAATGTGTGGACCCGGTCAGTCCGAAGCAATCTGGGTTCTCCGGCGAGGTGAGGCCGTGGAATAGGCGCAGGGTTCGCTGGAAAACCCTTGCGACATCAAGCGCGTGATTGTGCAGTGTT